AAGGGAAATGAACGAGTCTCAAGGCTTCTAAAAAAGCTTAACAACTCCCTTTATTATTGATTACTTGAATAAAAAGTACATGTTAGCTCTCAAATCCCAATCAAAATGTGTATCGATGTGAAAGCTTAACCTAGCACTTTCTGTACAATGCCAGCAAATAATTTACAGGACTTAAACCTAGTCTCAGGTACAATTCACAAATCCCACATTAAAAGAATTCAAAGACAATGAAAACCCACACAATAAAAAGTGCAGTATACAAATTAAAATCACTTGGTTCAACACAAATAAATTCAACAAATCAACTTGTGAAACAGTAAATGAATAATGTATGTAAACAGCTTGGCCTAACTGCCCAGTTTACTCTGTCTAGCGTGGATGTTTGGATAAGGTAAATCCTAACCTAGCTAGTGTGCTATAAGCTTAAACTGGCTTTATACCCCCTGTAAATAATAACTAGGTTAAATCTGTCCTAGCTACTATAACTGTTGTAAATATTGCACAAGCCTAGCCTAACTATGGCAAACCTTGCAAATCCACTGTAAGAATCAACACAAGTCTCTACTCTGGTTTTACTTGTAACACTGTGAATAATTTTAAATTCACAAGCTTCTCTAGCCTACCTGGCCTGCCTGTAAATTATTTGCAAATAACAACTTTGTGTATAGTCAGCTTGGCCTAGCCTCTGTGTAACTCTGGGCCTAAGGAGTGCTAACTTAAACCTAACTCTGTTTAAACGGGTTCCTAACTGGTGGCTAGCTATGATAGCTTAACCTAGCTATTCCACATCAATGTTTTCGAAGGACCACTTTTTTTTTAAAAATTTTTGTGGGGGGACTGCCTCCAAGTGAGTCGCCTTACCTTGGCAAACTCTGTTGACACCGAGCTCTGAGGTGGGTACCTCACTCACAAGTGGCTTATAAGACAGATTTTCACAAATGATTGATGTTGCAAGAAAATCGCCTGCATGCACGTATTTAAAAGGGCTAACTTACTTGGTGTTGCAGCATATATCCTGATCTTCAACTTCCCTAAGCTTAGCCTTACCCCTTTGGACTTCCCCCCAGAAACCACATGCAACCGGGAGCCTTAATTCCTGCAATATTTTAATCGTTATTAGTGTCCTGCCTGCACCCAAGAAATTTTCCCATATCCAAGAGGGTTTTGTATCCTTAGTATAACTATGCAGACACGGACACTAGCTTCCAGACTGCCCTGAGACACTGGTACTTACTGGGCATGCACTGCCTGTTGCACACCGGGCCCGCAGATCAAACTCACTCACAATTCTCCCCAGACACTGGCCAGAAATCTACGAGATAAAGTGGAGGTCTTGTCTTTACTGTATGGGCCTGACGGAGGTCATCTACGGTACATCGAGGTGCCTCTACCAGATTTCCCTAGGTCTCAAATGTGAAGACACGTGGGGGGCGCTGTCTGCTGATCATGGCACGTCTTGTCCAGTTGGTGTCTGTCTTAAGAAGAACGAGCTGGTCTCTCTTCCAGACCCTCGTCTCTTCGTTCAAACTAGGGCTGCCAGTTCTCCCTAGCTAACTTATCCTAGTGTTTGCCTACATTATCGGCCTATTACTACCTATGTTAAGGTCTTAGGTCTACATTATTATAATCTACAGTTGCCTTAGTAAACCTAATATTAATATACTAACAGTAAAACTACCTACTCCTTTCCTGAAGGGTAAATCTATAAATTAAATAAGCTTGTTAGGTAAGACACATATGCAACAGTTAGACAACTTTATTCCGAAACGTTTCGCCTACACAGTAGGCTTCTTCAGTCGAATACAGAAAGTAGGCAGGAACAGTAGAGATGTGAAGACGATGTAATCAGTCCATCACCCTTAAAGTCGTAGAATTTGAGGTTGTCAGTCCCTCGGCCTGGAGAAGTTCAGTTCCATAGGAACTATGGAACTGAACTTCTCCAGGCCGAGGGACTGACAACCTCAAATTCTACGACTTTAAGGGTGATGGACTGATTACATCGTCTTCACATCTCTACTGTTCCTGCCTACTTTCTGTATTCGACTGAAGAAGCCTACTGTGTAGGCGAAACGTTTCGGAATAAAGTTGTCTAACTGTTGCATATGTGTCTTACCTAACAACCTGTCGGTATTGTATACCATTTTGATGTTAAATAAGCTTACCAATAATCCATGCCAACTAGAGAATGCTTTGTTTTGGGTGGGTATAAGGGCCACCCTGCTCAGCCATTCCATTATGGCCATGCCGGATCTGTCCTGTGGAACTTTAGGGACCAAATAAGTTTCCACAACACCTGTACAACAGTTTGGTATCTTTTTTGATGAAACTTGTCGCCTACACAGTAGGCTTCATCAGTCAGATACAGAGGTAGCAGGTGTAGTACTGAAATAGAGGTGATATAATCAGTCCAACAACCTTGGAGAAAAAGTATTTGAGGTGGTCAGTCCCTCAGCCTGGAGAAGAGTTCAGCTCCATGGAGCTGAACTCTTCTGACATAATCAGACTGAGGGACTGACCGCCACAAATACTTTTTCTCCACTACACCTGTTGAATCTGTATCAGGACTGAAGAAGTCACTCGTGGCTATACGTTCCTCTAATAAATGTCCTGAACTGTACTTAAATGTCTTTTTCAACAACATTTTGACATAGTCTCTGTTTGCATTAACATAAAAAAAACTGATTTACTTTCCCGTTTTCTTTCATCTCAGAAAAGAAGGAACGTAAACATTGAGATGAAGGAGGAAGAACGACTGGACGCCATCACATGAAAGGATCATCCTGGATTCCCACTCTATTTCTGCACCATTGCAAGCTCCTGATGATGTGTTGATTGCAACACGAAAGGGCATAGAGTTACATTTCAACTTCTCCCCTCAGGGGTTATTTTGCATCATGTGTGGCTCGTGCCCCCAGGTCATTACCCCGTGGGTACCCCCGTGGACACCTACCACCTCCCCCTCGGTACCCGGGGGTGACACCGCTCAGAACATCTGTCAATGCTTACAAAATAATTTCATTTACATTGTTTTCCTGGAGTCGTGTTTGTTTGGCACTTCAAGCACTGAATAAAACTACTAAGAGTGCATTTTGCAAGTAGTTTTTTGTTATAATATCCTAGGTATCAACTGTGTGTGTTGCGGGAACCCACAGTGTGTTGCGGGAACCTACAGTGTGTGTGTTGCGGGAACCCACAATGTGTGTGTTGCGGGAACCTACAATGTGTGTGTTGCGGGGACCTACAGTGTGTGTGTGTTGCGGGGACCCACAGTGTTTGTGTTGCAGGGACCTACAGTGTGTGAGTGTGTTGCGGGGACCCACAGTGTGTGTGTTGCGGGGACCTACAGTGTGTGTGTGTGTTGCGGGGACCCACAGTGTGTGTGTTGCGGGGACCTACAGTGTGTGAGTGTGTTGCGGGGACCTACAGTGTGTGTGTGTGTGTTGCGGGGACCTACAGTGTGTGTGTATGTTGTGGGGATCTACAGTGTGTGTGTGTTGCGGGGACCTATAGTGTGTGTGTGTTGCGGGGACCTACAGTGTGTGTGTGTGTTGCGGGGACCTACAGTGTGTGAGTTGCGGAGACCTACAGTGTGTGTGTGTTGCGGGGACCTACAGTGTGTGTGTGTTGCGGGGACCTACAGTGTGTGTGTGTGTTGCGGGGACCTACAGTGTGTGTGTGTTGCGGGGACCTACAGTGTGTGTGTGTTGCGGGGACCTACAGTAGTAGGAAACTGACTTGTCTGGTTTTTAGGTCAGTTTGGCCACCATCTACTACTGTTATTACTGTTACTTCTTATTAATTCACTTTGGAACAGGAGCTATGCTCTGTCAATGTGGAACAGGAGCTATGTTCTGTCACTGTGGGACAGGAGCTATGTTCTGTCACTGTGGAACAGGAGCTATGTTCTGTCACTGTGGGACAGGAGCTATGTTCTGTCACTGTGGAACAGGAGCTATGTTCTGTCACTGTGGGACAGGAGCTATGTTCTGTCACTGTGGGACAGGAGCTATGTTCTGTCAATGTGGAACAGGAGCTATGTTCTGTCACTGTGGGACAGGAGCTATGTTCTGTCACTGTGGAACAGGAGCTATGTTCTGTCACTGTGGGACAGGAGCTATGCTCTGTCACTGTGGAACAGGAGCTATGTTCTGTCACTGTGGGACAGGAGTTACGCTCTGTCACTGCCTGTGGCGTTGGGATGAAACCCGCGTAAACAACAAACAGTGAGTCGCAGCTGGTGAACCTTCCACACTTTCCCATTTTCCCCCTTCCCTTGTGCTCCGTAAATCCAATACCTTTTCCTTTCCCCAAAATCCTTCATTCTTTCCCCCTCTCCACCCCTGCTCTGGTCAGGGACCGGATCGTGGGGGCAATAACCCCCCTTTCCGAATTCAACAACAGGTAGGCAAATATACCTGTTCACTGTCTTCCCCACTCACCCTTACCTTCACCCCTCCTGTGGGTATTGTGCAATGATAAGAGCGAGTGAGAACACAGCAGATGTGGGTAGGTGGTGTGGGCTACACTGCCTCCATCCCCTGTTAGTGTGACTTTGTCAATGGTCCAAGTCGGACCGAAACGTCGTCGTAAGCTTCTGTCTTTTATGTGCGGGTTATTTGTGTATCGTTCCAGTCACGGTATTGTGCCTTTTTGTTATTTATTTCCCAACACTCTACTACATTACTGCACTACGTAAGGTTCTTATATAATAACGCTCTTACAGTCTTCTTTCCTAATTTAAGATTTGTTAAAAAGACGCTGTGCTGAAGAAATTATCATTTAAAGACAACGTTTCGCTAGGCGTCGATGCCTTTTGAGTCACTGTCCCGAAGAAGGTCGTCACCGAGCGAAATGTTGTCATTTAGAGAAAATTTGTCCCCCCAGAAGTTTTTTGCTCTATTAATCGGCAATCTTTTCCTTTCCAAAATAACCATTACTTTATTTCTTAATTTATTGTCCTGTTTGACGAATTACTATAGTTACCTAGCTCCCCTGTCTGTCCCTTTTACTCGCATTAGTTGTGAACAATACACAACCCGCATATAAGAGAGAGAGAAGCTTATGACGCTGTTTCGGTCCGATTTGGACCATTTACAAGCCACAAGGTTCTCTATTCTCTGTACGGGATATTTGTGCATTGTTCCAGTCACGATATTGGGCCTTTTAATTCTTGTTTAGTTGTGCTTATTAATCCAGGTTCACCCCTAGCTCTGTTTAGTTTACAAACTTGATGTAATAGTGTCCTTGAAGCACCGTCTCCACTACCGTGCTGCCTTCATTCCAGACTGTATTGATGACGAGGTTGTTCCTTCATTCCAGATTATATTGATGAAGAGGTCGTTCCTAGATCTACTCATTATTTAATGTCTCTCCCCGCAATATGTCTCTACCTGCATGAGAAGAAACTGATTTTTTTAGGGAGATAGCTGCATAAAAATTCCTTTTTTCTGTATATAGGGGTAGGCTAATCCGAGATATGGAAATTCTTGAAAGACAGTAACTGCAACTCTGCTGGAACGAAATCCTTGAAGCTGACGTAGCTAATGAACTCTTGCTGGAATATCTGGAATATCCTCTGTTGTAGTCTTCCAGCTCAGGCTAACAGATTCCAGCACCTTGTATGAGCCTCATCCTGGAAAATGAAATATGACAGGGAAATATAGTTAGCTTTTGTTCTTATTTTGACTTTTTGGGGGATAATCCTAAGGAATTTACACATACGTTACTTAATATGTTAATTGTACTTACGTAGACCTGTACCTAAATGAACCTACAGCCGTGTCCACTTGTCCTATTTCTTGCTGGAGAAATCACCATTTTGTTTACCAATTAACAGAAAATTTCACGACCAACTTAAGAGCATCCTTATGGCAGACACATCTTCAGGATGCTCTCAGGTTCTTGGCATCCTTTTGCTGCTGACGGCGACGCTGACGAACGCTGACCTTAGCTTAGTAACCACTGAAGGGGAGTTTGTCATCAGCTTCGATGGTAATGAGGTAAGTGTCGAGTTCAGAGCATATTGAGTGAGACAGGTTCATGGGGCACAGGTTCATGGTTCATGGGATGTGGTTATGTTTCCTTGCACCTGTTGACCCTGTGTACCTACAGTAAGTAGGTAAGACCTCTGGCTGTCTTCAAGAAGGCACTGGACAGGCGCCTAAAGTCAGTACCTGACCAGCCGGGCTGTGGTTCGTACGTCAGTTTGCCTGCGGCCAGTAGTAACAGCCTGGTTAATCAGACCTTGATCCACCACGAGGCCTGGTCACAGACCGGGCCGCGGGGACGTTGACCCCCGAAACCCTCTCCAGGCATATTCCAGGTATCCAGGTACCAGAGTGTTAGTTGGCTGTCTGTTGTGGGGTTGCATCCTGGGCAGACATTTAAAAAAACCCAATGGAAATAAGCCAGACAGTGTGATGACAGTGGCTTTCTTGAGATATACTGGATTTATTAACCCTCCGAGTTAATAGAACGAATAGTGTGATTGCTTTGTATTTGCGAAAGTGCCACCAAAATTAAATTTTATGTGAAAAGGCCTTCATAGCTTGTGCTGTTTGATTCTGGAAGGACTTTTTCAATGGCATTTGCCAAAAATGTTATTACTGTGCATAAAATATTTTTATAAGCGGGCTAATTTACTGTAAATATCTTCTACTTATGTAAACATATCAATGTTCGGAGAAATAAAATAGTTAATGCACAATTTCAAAAGACGATAGTTTTCTATGAATTTTCAAAGAAAACTGTTTCTTTTAAGATAGACCTTTGAAATATTTTCTTTTCCATCGGTTATTTGATTGAGTCTGGTAATTAAGATGGCAGGCTCAGAGTTAGCATCGGTAGAAAAGCAGGCAGCGGTCTGGCTCCGCGAGATGACTCTAATTTTGGTTTTTAATCCGTGAAGATAAGCATTATAAGAAAGTTAATTACTGTGACTTATTTCCGATGAGGCCCTCTTGTCCTCTCCCAAAATGCGACCAACACCAAACAGTCCACTGACACCTGGGTACTTATTTACTGTTAGGTGAACAGGGGCGGCAGGCGTAAGGAAACATGCCCAACGCCTTTACTCCCACAACAGTCAACTCGCCTGCCGTTAAGTGTCAGGAGATTTGCATGTTGCTCCCATGTTGCTATGTCCTCTACAGGTGTTCCATCATACCATCGTGGACCCCATCATCTGGGTGGGATATGGGAGCACCAACTTCACCGAGTCTCTAGGCAACTTCGAGGTGGAGGATGAGGTGCTGACGAAGGTGCCCCTCGTGCAGTTCGAGGTGGCAGACAACTCTCCAGATTTAATCACCTTGCATCTGCAGCCAGCCGAGTCTGACACTGTCGATGTGAGTCTTAGTGAATAAGACACATGTGCAATACCTGGGTATCCATAAAGATACCTAGGTGTTGCACATGTGTCTTTTTTATCATCTTCTTGGTAATGTATGCCAAGCTCCCTGTGTGTACAATTTTTACAATTTTCCAAGCTCCCTGTGTGTACGATTCTTACCATACTCAATCACGCGGGATGGAAAACCATCCCGTGTGTTCGAGTCCAACAGTAAAGCCATCCTACACAATATAATGTGACGGAGGAGCACTGGGGGCAGGCCTACTGGGTCATACTATATGACCCAGTAGGAAGATATACACAGTTCAATATAAGTCTTGGACTGTATATATGTGTCTTCACTTACATACTGTCGGTATCACCATATCTTCCCAGTTACAACTCACAGCCGATCGAACTGGCGTGACTAATTTTGACACGAAGTAAAATGCTCATTTCTTCCGCCTTGATAGATAACGTTGGTCGTGAAAGTAGACTCACAGGCCGACGACTCTCCGTCAGTGTTGATGCACACAGAGTACAGCATCGACAACAACACCTTCAACCGCATATGGGTGAGATTCTCCGCCGAGCAAGACGAGCAGGTGTGGGGAGGTGGGGAGCAGTACACGTACCTCAACCTGAGGGGGCATTACTTTCCCATCTGGACGAGCGAGCAAGGTACGTCTGCTGCGAACGTTGGGTTTCCAACGATTTAATCAATCACCTGAGGATTGGATCCCCCTATCTTATCTTAAAGTTATGGAAGTTATTAGATAAATTACGTAAATTAAGTTATTTTTACACTGCGTGATTTTAAGAGGAGTTAGGTTAATTTATGCTTGATTAAACTGTTAGGGTATATTAGATTAAGTTAAGTTAGGTTAGGGTGCTAAGATAAGTAAAGTTACGATAAGTAAAGTTAGGTTAGGTTGCTAGCTTAATTTTTGGTCAGACACAGAATAAAAAAAGCACAATACCGTGACTGAAACAATACACAAATAACCCGCACATAGGAGAAAGAAACCAATGACGGCGTTACGGTCCGACTTGGATCATTAACTAGCGGGTTGAGAGCACATCATCTAGTGACCTTTTTCTTCTACTGGAAAGTTAGTTCCTTGTTTTAACTAGCCGTTCAACTGCGTATGTTAATTTTTAATGTTAGTTAAGTAACGTGTGAATTGAAGAAGAGCAGCGTAAAGGCACATAAGACTCTTCACTGCTAGAAAGAAAGTCTTAAGACAGTAACTCTCTGGCAGACTTGGAGTAAAGAGGGGCATAGATGGAGCCCCTGAGAGATACAGTCAAGACAATGTCCAATGTTTTATATAATGGAAAGAAGCGTAATAATCACACGTTCTCCAAAAAAAAGTGTTATTTAATGTTCTTTACATAATCTTTAAGTTATGAGAGTTAGTGACCTTGGATGACCTCCTGCAGGAGTGGGGAGAGACGGGGGGATAATAGCCAACATATCTGACCTAGATGGAGGTGCTGGAGGTCACTACTACACTACCTACTGGCCCCAGGCTTCCTTCCTCTCCTCCAGGAGATACTCCATCATCATCTCCAGTTACAGGTGAGTCAGTCATCGAGTCCTACTGGACTCCAGGAGTCTTTCTTTCCTGCAGGAATCTTACTTTCCTCCAGGACACTTCCTCTCATCCAGGACTTTTCCTCTTTTCTATTTTTTTATATTTCGGGTTTCTTTCATGAATCCAATATATTCTGTCTGCGTCAGACAGTTCTTTTATCAGTCAGGTTAATTTTTCTGTTAGGAATTCGGTATTTCAGTTTCTCCCTCCCTCCCCCTACTCCATCTCTCATTTCCTCACCCCTTCCTTTATTCTCTCCATCAGTTATATGGTATTGAACTTCACGGAAGAGGCGAGGCACGAAGTGTACATTCACAGCCTTTTCTTCGACGCTACCATGGTATGGGGGTCAAGTCTCTTGAAGACTGTACAAGTTGTCACCACCAGACTGGGTCCTCAACCACTCCTTCCAGACTGGATCCTCACTGGCACCTGTCTGGCTCAGCAGCGTGGCACCCAGGAGGTAAGGTCGCCTCCAGGAAGAGAAGGAGGCTTCCATGAAGGAAATATCACGTCAAGGAGAGTAAGGTCTTCCAGGAAAATAAGCTGCCTCAAAGGTAAGGCAAGTTCTATACAGGCAAAGTCGTCACCAGACTAGAACGAAGCTCACAAGACGCTAAGGTCAGCTAATTTCGAACAGTGACAAATCGTATTGTGCTAATGCAATTAACTCAATTTACCTTATTCCTGATATATCTCCTTTTACTGTAATCGATTTTCACACAGTTGAATTACTTAGGTAATTTACACATGTTACTATACACGATAATTTGCGTAACAATATTTATGCGTACTTGTACCTAAATAAACTTAATCTTCCTGCCTCTGGTCGCTGCCTAGTCTCTAACTAGTAAATTTGCTGGTGAATTCAGGCAGGGGCAGAGTAAGCATAACCTACAATAGGTTCCAGCTGATGTCTTTCAGTTGTTTCAGTTGTTGTTCTCCAAAAAAAAGTGTTATTTAATGTGTGAGGTGGTTGGAGATGTGGGGAATGAGGCTTCTAGCAGTGAGGTGCAGTCTGTCTCTCACTGTGAGGAGGCTGTAGGTGGGGAGGTAGCAACGGGTACCAGCAGTGAGGTGCAGCCCAGCACCTGCTACAAGTGGCGAGTTGTTCACAGTAATGGGAGGCGCATCAGAGTAAGGAAAGTTAAGAGTGAAGATCTGAAGGTAGGAAATCGCTTCTCTGTTCTCCAGGATGAATGTACTTCAGTGGCCAGTGAAGGTAAGGGTACTACTGCCCCTGCTAATGAAGGTAAGCGCATTCTTGTGGTTGGTGACTCTCAGGTAAGATATGTTGACCGTGCTTTTTGTAATAGGAATAAGAAGATGAGAGATAGAGTGTGCTTCCCTGGAGCTGGTGTTGGGGACATTGTCAACAGACTGGATAATATCATGTCAGGTAATGGGAACAAGCCCATTATCTGTCTCAGTGCTGGTGGAAATGATATTGGGAAGGGTAGGAGAGAAGAGCTGCTAGATAAGTACAGGTCAGCTATAGATTTCATTAAGTCTAAGGGAGGGATCCCAATCATATGTAGCATCTTGCCTAGAAGGGGAGTAGGAAATGAATGGTTGTCTAGGGCAATTGGTGGTAAATTGCTGGCTAGACAGATACTGCAAGGAACTTGCAATCCCATTCATTGACAACTGAACAACTTTTATGGCAAACATGATATGTATGCAAGGGATGGGGTTCATCTCTCTGGGGCAGGGGTGGTAGCACTTGCAGACTCGATTGAGAAGGCCATTGGTGAAATGCCTATGATTTTAAACTGATGGAAGATAGAGGTTGGGTGTGTGTGGGAAACAAGCAGGTTGCAACACTAGGGTTGGAAACAGTAAATGTATAAAAGGCATTCAGCATGAAGTTATAAATAAAGACAATAGAACAGGTCAGAAAACAAAGGCGGACAGCAGAGGGCAGCAAGGGACTAGCTCCCTTAAGGTTTACTATACTAATAGCAGGAGTGTTAGAAATAAGATAGATGAGCTAAGATTAATTGCAAGTGCAGGAAACATAGATATTATTGCTATAACAGAGACCTGGCTCAATCTGAAAGATAGAGAGATGCCATCTGAATGTCACATACAAGGCTATAAATTATTCCACACTGACAGGGTCAACAGGAAAGGTGGTGGAGTAGCGATGTATGTCAGAGACAATTTAAATTGTTGTGTTAGACAAGATATTAAATTAGAAGCGTCAGCCACTGAATCTGTTTGGTTACAGCTTCTCGAGGGCCGAGAAAAAACTAATTTTGGGTGTGATTTACAGGGCCCCAAATCTTGATAGGGAGTGCAGTAAACTTCTATGGGACGAAATTCGTAAGGCATCTACTACGAAAATGTTGTGCTAATGGGAGATTTCAACTAATAGACAGATTGACTGGAGCAATTTGACAGGAAATTTAGAGTCGGGTGACTTTCTTGATACGATCCAGGATTGTTTTTTAAAACAGTTTGTGACAGAGCCAACTAGGGGAAATAACCTCCTTGACTTGGTTCTTGCCAGTAGGGAAACACTAATTAATAATCTTGAGGTTAATGATGAGCTTGGGGAGAGTGATCACAAATCACTCAGTTTTAACATATCATGGAATTCCCTAATAATGGCAATCAAGTCTCGTCCCTGACTTTCGCTTGGCTGATTTCATAGGACTGAAAAATTTACTTAGGTGGGCTGAACTGGAATGACCTGACTAGGGGTCAGGTAGGTGGTGATGGTTGCCGATATGATGCTTTCCAGGGCATAGTTCTAGCTGCTCAGTCAAATTATGTTCCAAATAGGGAAATCAGATCAAACAAAAATGATCCTAAATGGATGAACAATAGATTAAAATATCTGATTGGTCAAAAGAGAGGCATATATAGGCAAATCAAAAGAGGAGAGAGGGGCAATTAAGAAATCGATATATTCAGTTAAAGAGAGAAATAAAAAAGGGAATTAGAAAAGCAAAAAGAGATTATGAGGTTAAAGTTGCAAGAGAATCGAAGACTAACCCAAAAGGATTCTTTCAGGTATACAGAAGTAAGATCAGGGACAAGATTAGGCCCACTCAAAAGTTCCTCGGGTCAGCTCACTGACAGTGATAAGGAAATGTGTAGAATTTTTAACACATACTTCCTCTCAGTTTTTACACAGGAGGATACCAGTGATATTCCAGTAATGATAAATTATGTAGAACAGGACGATAATAAACTGTGCACTATTAGGGTCACAAGTGACATGGTCCTTAGGCAAATAGATAAATTAAAACCTAACAAATCCCCAGGCCCTGATGAACTGTATGCAAGGGTTCTAAAGAATGTAAAGAGAGCTTAGCACACCTTTGGCTAATCTTTTCAACATATCACTACAAACTGCATGGTGCCAGATAAGTGGAAAATGGCAAATGTGATACCTATTTTCAAAACAGGTGACAGGTCCTTAGCTTCGAACTATAGACCAATAAGCCTAACCTCCATAGTGGGAAAATTTATGGAATCAATAATTGCCGAGGCGTTCGTAGCCACCTTGAAAAGCATAAATTAATCAACGAATCTCAGCATGGTTTTACAAAGGGACGTTCCTGCCTTACGAATTTATTAACTTTTTTCACTAAGGTATTTGAGGAGGTTAGATCATGGTAACGAATATGATATTGTGTATATGGACTTCAGTAAGGCTTTTGACAGGGTCCCACATCAGAGACTATTGAGGAAAATTAAAGCACATGGAATAGGAGGAGAAATTTTTTCCTGGATAGAGGCATGGTTGACAAATAGGCAGCAGAGAGTTTGCATAAATGGGGAGAAATCAGAGTGGGGAAGCGTCACGAGCGGTGTTCCACAGGGGTCAGTGTTGGGCCCCCTGCTGTTCACAATCTACATAAACGACATAGATGAGGGCATAAAGAGCGACATCGGCAAGTTTGCCGATGACACCAAAATAGGCCGTCGAATTCATTCTGACGAGGACATTCGAGCACTCCAGGAAGATTTGAATAGACTGATGCAGTGGTCGGAGAAGTGGCAGATGCAGTTTAATATAGACAAATGCAAAGTTCTAAATGTTGGACAGGACAATAACCATGCCACATATAAACTAAATAATGTAGATCTTAATATTACGGATTGCGAAAAAGATTTAGGAGTTCTGGTTAGCAGTAATCTGAAAACCAAGACAACAGTGCATAAGTGTTCGCAATAAAGCTAATAGAATCCTTGGCTTCATATCAAGAAGCATAAATAATAGGAGTCCTCAGGTTGTTCTTCAACTCTATACATCCTTGGTTTAGGCCTCATTTAGATTATGCTGCACAGTTTTGGTCACCGTATTACAGAATGGATATAAATTCTCTGGAAAATGTACAAAGGAGGATGACAAAGATGATCCCATGTATCAGAAACCTTCCCTATGAGGATAGACTAAGGGCCCTGAAACTGCACTCTCTAGAAAGACGTAGAATTAGGGGGGATATGATTGAGGTTTATAAGTGGAAGACAGGAATAAATAAAGGGGATGTAAATAGTGTGCTGATAATATCTAGCCTAGACAGGACTCGCACGCAATGGTTTTAAGTTGGAAAAATTCAGATTCAGGAGGGATATAGGAAAGTACTGGTTTGGTAATAGAGTTGTGGATGAGTGGAACAAACTCCCAAGTACCGTTATAGAGGCCAGAACGTTGTGTAGCTTTAAAAATAGGTTGGATAAATACATGAGTAGATGTGGGTGGGTGTGAGTTAGACCTGATAGCTTGTGCTAACGGGTCGGTTGCCGTGTTCCTCCCTTGAGTCAATGTGACCTGACCTGACTAGGTTGGGTGCATTGGCTTAAGCCGGTAGGGACTTGGACCTGCCTCGCATGGGCCAGTAGGCCTTCTGCAGTGTTCCTTCGTTCTTATGTTCTTATGTTCTTATGAACGTAACTATTACTAAATGTTCTCGCTGGTGTCTTCCAGATGCTGTACTACTACGAGTTGGCTAAGACTGCTGGAGTGAACGTGACGTCCCTCTGGATCCAAGACTGGTCGGGGACCACGGAGACTTTCTTTGGTCATCGAGTCTACTGGAACTGGCGCTGGAATCAGACGTATTATCCAGGTATCTGGCACTCTGTCTAGTAAGTAGCAAGCGCTGGAGCCGACGCTAAAACCACCATTGGAACCAGTACTGGAACCAGTGCTGGAACAAGTACTGGAACCAGTGCTGGAACAAGTGTTAGAACAAGTGCTGAAACAAGTACTGGGACCAGTGCTGGAACAAGCGCTGGAACAAGTACCTATTAGGAAACTAACTCTTTGCCTTGCAATTCTAACCCCGTCATGGTAGGTCTGATCTAATTAATCAAATTTCATTGCTTCTCATTTCACAGGTGCTGCATTAGAATTTTCTGAAGAGGGTCTTAGTTTAAAGCCGAAATATGGTGGCATAATGGGTGACATTTGGGAGGTAATGAGAGGTCACGCAAGAGATGAAAGAGCTGCTCCGTCTACCTATATCAAGAGCTCTTTAACGATATCAAGGAACACACTTCTTAGGTCCATACGCTAGCAGGCTTCCCACACACTTCACTCCCCTATAATATCCTCCGCCAATTCTACAGCAGCTCATCCCTCACACGAATGCACATTCTTTCTTTTCCCCCATCTCCTACCTCAGCAGGATTCGAAGTCACGTCAGGCACCCTGGCAAGGTTCCCAAGTGACGCGCTACACCACTCGGCCACAGATGCCTCAAAAGCTGGGAAGCCTTGCTAACAAGCCATGGTGGTTCTCCCAGCCTAACTGCTGACTGCGATTATTCTGTGTGTACTCACCTAGTTGTACTCACCTAGTTGAGGTTGAAGGGGTCGAGTCCGAGCTCCTGGCCCCGCCTCTTCACTGATCGCTACTAGGTCACTCTCCCTGAACCGTGAGCTTTATCATACCTCTGCTTAAAGCTATGTATGGAGCCTGCCTCCACTACATCGCTTCCCAAACTATTCCACTTACTGTGTGTGTGTATATATATATATATATATATTATATATATATATATATATATATATATATATATATATATATATATATATAATATATAATATAGATATATATATATATATATATATATATATATATATATATACATGTTATATATAACAATTTATCTTTCGTTTTTCTATCTCCATATGGGTTATTTACTAATCATTAACAAGTGTTCATTACACTTTAGTTATCCATAAAGAGAGAGATAGAGAGACTATTTTTTATTTGGATTATTTTAGGTTAAATAAAATATTAAGATTAATAATAAGGAGTATCTATTTCGATTAATAAATAATTTATCTTAGGTTGGCCACACGTCTTGCCCTTGACACTCCTCTCTCTCTCTCTCTCTCTCTCTCTCTCTCCATCCTCTCTCTCTCTCTCTCTCTCTCTCTCTCTCTCTCTCTCTCTCTCTCTCTCCTCTCTCTCTCTCTCTCTCTCTCTCTCTCTCTCTCTCTCTCTCTCTCTATCTATCTATCTCTCTCTCTCTATCTCTCTCTCTCTCTCTCTCTCTCTCTCTCTCTCTCTCTCTCTCTCTCTCTCTCTCTCTCTCTCTCTCTCTCTCTCTCTCTCTCTCTCTTCTCTCTCTATCTATCTATCTATCTATCTATCTGGTTTAGAAAGACACGTAAACAAACACTATAACATATTTATTAGAAAACGTTTCGGTCCTGGGACCGAAGTGATCAAGGTCCCAGGACCGAAACGTTTTCTAATAAATATGTTTTAGTGTTTGCTTACGTGTCTTTCTAAACCAACTTGTCGGTGTATATTACCAAGGTTTATACCATCTATCTATCTCAACCCTTCACTCCTGTGTCCTCTTCTGTAGACCTGAACGTGACGATACAAGACCTGCTCGAGGAAGGCGTGCGAGTTATGGCCTACATCAACCCTCACCTCATAGAAGGCAGCGACATGTTCTTGGAGGCTGCTTCCCTCGGCTACCTCATGAGGGACGCCGACGGGCAGCCCTACAGGCAGGACTTCGGCGGGTTCCTTGCAGGCACGATAGATCTCTTCAACTCGGAGGCCAAAGACTGGTACAGAGGTGAGATACTTGCACACACACACACACACACACACATACACACACACACACACACACACACACACACCACACACACACACACACACACACACACACACACACACACACACACACACACACACACACACACACACACACACACACTGCCCTTCTGTGTCTATTTGTAATTCACAGCACAATATTTTCAACTGCTTTATCGTCTTTATTATGCCTACGATACCCATCCTGTGGGCAGAAGTCAAAAGCTTACAGAGACCCACAATAGGGTCCAGCGACTGGAACACTAAGACCAGTCCCTGGACCCATTATATTATTTAAAATCCCTAATATAATACCAAATATACCTCATATAATACTCGATATTTAACCAAGTGTTCTCAAAATAAGGTGGCCTGGTGACACCAGCCTTTCAACCAGATACAGAGAATGGATTGTTGGCAGCAGGAGTGACGAGGTAAAGATGTAGTCAGTCCATCAACCTTGGAGAAATAGTTTTAGGTAGTCAGTCCCTCAGCCTGAAGTGTCCCAGCTCAGGATGACGGATTTCAACACTCTATATGAATACCCATCCTGTGTGATGGAATATGACATTGAAACGCATCCTGTGTGATGGAATAGCACAGTGAAACCCATTCTGTGTGATGGTATACGATAAGCAAACTCATTCTGTGTAACATACTATGAGAGGAAAACACGGCTAGCACTTGTTTTATACTATGCAACTATCACATAGACTAGTGCAAGCATCACACTGCAGACGCATCCAATTTTGCCTTAATTTTTTTTTTTTTGTACAGACGAGATGATCAGGAACATGGTGGAACTGGGACTAGGTGGATGGATGGCAGACTTCGGAGAATACACTCCACTAGATATGCTCACTTCTGATCCCCTCCACGACCTTGAGGCTGAAGAACGCCACAACCAGCTGCCGGTGCAGTGGGCCAGCTGCAACAGGTTAGTTCTGGTAAAGGGAAGCACAAATTTCAGTGCTGCAGAACGAGGTTTTATTGCAACAAATTTGTTCAATCTTTCCCATACCTCCTGCATCCCGCTGACATGACAAAGTTCGACACAGAGCGAAACATTACCCTGAAAATCTTGTTCTGGAACATGTCTTTCTGCCTTCTTGTGTACAGTACAACGTTGGTCATAGTTTACGAAATCGTAATGACACGACTGCAAACAAACCATACCACGGGTGGGGTTAGAACCCGCGATCAGTTACAAAACTCCAGACCGACGCGTTAGCCATTGGCCCAGTGGTTAACGCGTCGGTCTGGAGTTTTGTGACTCTCTGATCGCGGGTTCTAACCCCACCCGTGGTATGGTTGGTTTTTTCTTTAATACAACGTTACACCTAGGTCAGCACCCTAGAAACTAGGCTCTATCTAATCTACCTAACACACGAAAAATAAACCAACCCACAACTACCTTCCAAACCCACTAAACTAATGCTGGTTGCTTAACCGGGTTTAAAGCCTGTCTACCACACGAGAGGTCGCCTGTTCACCACCGGTCAAGAATACTTTAATACCTAAAATATGGATTAAGGATAAATTATCAGTGTATATACATAGAGATATGCATACCTTTCTGTGTATATGTATATCCTGTGACCTCTAATGTATCATTAAAGAGTCGAGACGGCAAACATCTGCCTATATAATTTCAAATTTCATCTAAGGTTTTGAGTCTATGTGACCATTGACAGAATGTTTAGTAGAATGATAAAAAATTTATGGAATTATGGTAAATGATAGAATAATTATAAGAGAAAGATAGAAGAATGATAGAAAAATGATAGAATTGATAGAATTATAGAGGATAATAGTTTAATTATAAAAGAATGATAGTAGAATGATAGAAGATAGCACAATGACAGAAGATGCAGAATGATAGAAGTAGCAGAATGATAAAAGATATTTAGATGATTAATTATGGTATAATTCTTCAGAATCAGGTTTCAGAATTGTTGACCCCCGAACACCTTCCAGGTGCTCCGGGGTCAACGCCCCCAGCGGCCCTGACCAGATCGGGTTAAGTTGAATAGTTATTTGCGTTGTGACCAGACTAACTTAGAAACCCAATTAGAGCGGTAGAAAGCATTCGTTTAAGGAACGTCTTTTGCTCTCCTTGAGTGAAACGTTACCTCTTGTTCTAATTACCTCGGTTTTATCCATGTTTTGTCTGTGTAGCTGCCCAGCCGCCACTTGCTGAAAAAAGGCGAAATGCAGGCCTCATTATGACAACGTTTTCGCTCTGTGCAAAGTTCTATAAAGCTCTACCACCAAAGTGTGACTTTGTAAATGGACCAAGTCAGGCCGAAACGTCGTGGTCAGCTCCTCTCTCCCATGTGGGTTTTATTATTTTATTATTATTATTATTATTATTATTATTATTATTATTATTATTATTATTATTATTATTAATTATTATTATTATTATTAACCCCTAAACCTCCTCCAATATAAAGGGGTGAGATCAGTTGGCAGCCCCCGGCATCCATTCGCCAATTCGAAGCCCCTGAGAGCAAACTCTAAAGGGAAATCTCTCACCCAGGGGGGTTGCTGGAGGCGTCTGGCCAGTGGGGCATGAAAGTGCCCTTCATGAGGTCTGGAGGCCGGGGGTCCTCGAAGTACCAGGTGCTGGCGTGGGCAGGAGACCAGAATGTGGATTGGTCTCTGGGTGATGGAGTAGCTTCGACTGTCATAGCGGTAAGTACCGAGGGAGAGGAAGTGGGGGTGTTTACCTGGAGTTTCCCGGGGAAGAGTTTCGGGGGTCAACGCCCCCGGGGGCCCGGTCTGTGACCAGGCCTCTGGATGCTGTACTAACGTTGAAGGAGGGGAGATAATGGGGAAGGTTGATTCCAGGAAGGGAAAGCAACTTCAGTTTTAGGGATCAAAAATTTCACAAAAAACTCTTCGGTAACTGTTTTTTAAGGCTTTTGTTAGAAAATGTAAAGTGCATTTGTTGACGCCTTTCCTGTGCCTTTGTTAATATTTTATTGTTGTTTTTCTTATTACTTTTTTTCGTAATTATATTCATCATAACTGCTTAAAATTATGTATGTTACATCAGAAAGCCATGATCAGTTATTTGGGTTTATTTCTTCCCTGTGAACCATCACTGTAAACCCCTCTCCCGTTTCCACTGAACCATCACTTACCTCTCTCCTGTACCACTGAACCATCACTGTACCTCTCTCCTGTACCACTGAACCATCACTGTACCTCTCTCCTGTACCACTGAACCATCACTGTACCTCTCTCCTGTTCCACGGAACCATCACTGTACCTCTCTCCTGTACCACTGAACCATCACTGTACCCCTCTCCGTACCACTGAACCATCACTGTACCTCTCTCCTGTTTCCACTGAACCATCACTGGGACCTCTCTCCTGTACCACTGAACCATCACTGTACCTCTCTCCTGTACCACTAACCATCACTGTACCTCTCTCCTGTACCACTGAACCATCACTGTACCTCTTCTCCTGTACCACTGAACCATTTACTGTACCTCTCTCCTGTACCACCCGAAATATCACTGTACCTCTCTCCTGTATCACTGAACCATCATTGTACCTCTCTCCTGTTTCCACTGAACTATCACTGTACCTCTCTCCTGTACCACTGAACAAACACTGTACCTTCTCCTGTACCACTGAACCATCACTGTACCTCTCTCCTGTATCACTGAACATCACTGTACCTCTCTCCTGTATCACTGAACCATCACTGTACCTCCCCTCCGTTTTCACTGAACCATCACTGTACCTCTCTCCTGTACACTAACATCACTGTACCTCTCTTCCTGTACCACTGAACTATCACTGTACCTCTCTCCTGTATCACTGAACCTCATTGTACCTCTCTCCTGTACCACTGAACATCACTGTACCTCTTCCTGTACCACTGAACTATCCTGTACCTCTCTCCTGTACCCTGAACATCACTGTACCTCTCTCCTGTACCCCTGAACTATCACTGTACCTCTCTTTCCTGTACCACTGAACCATCATTGTACCTCTCTCCTGTACCCCTGAACTATCACTGTACCTCTCTCCTGTACCCACTGAATCTATCACTGTACCTCTCTCCTGTACCACTGAACAATCACTGTAGCTCTCTCCTGTACCACTTTAACCATCCCCTGTACCTCTCTCCTGTATCAAATGAACCTCACTGTACCTCTCTCCTGTACCCCTGAACCATCACTGTACCTCTCTCCTGTTCACTGAACCATCACTGTACCTCTCTCCTGTACACTGAACTATCACTGTACCCCTCTCCTGTACCACGAACTATCCTGTACCTCTCTCCCGTACCACTGAAATATCACTGTACCTCTCTCCTGTAACACTGAACCCATCACTGTTACCTCTTTTCCTGACATGAACTATTCACTGTACCTCTCTCCTGTACCACTGAACATCACTGTACCTCTCTCCTGTACCACTGAACCATCACTGTACCTCTCTCCTGTACCACTGAACTATCATGTACCTCCTCTCCTGTACCACTGAACCATCACTGTACCTCTCTCCTGTACCACTGAACTATCACTGTACCTCTCTCTGTACCACTGAACTATCACTGTACCTCTCTCCTGTACCCTGAACTATCACTGTAAACCCCTCTCCTGTATCACTGAACCCTCATTGACCTCTCTCCTGTACCCCTGAACCATCATTGTACCTCTCTCCTGTACCACTGAACTATCACTGTACCTCTCTCCTGTACCATGAACTATCACGTACCTCTCTCCTGAACCACTGAACAACACTTAAAATCTCTCCTTGTACCACGAACCTCCCCTGTAACCTCTTTCCCGTATCACTGAACCATCACTGTACCTCTCTCCTGTATCACTGAACCCCTCACTGTACCTCTCCCTGTATTTACTGAACCATCATTGTACCTCCCATCCTGTCACTGAACTATCACTGTACCCCTCTCCTGTATCACTGAACCTCATTTGTACCTCTTCCTGTACCACTGAACTATCACTGTTCCCTCTCCTGTACCACTGAACTATCACTGTACTCTCCTGTACCACTGAACACACTGTAAACTCTCTCCTTTTACCACTGAACCATCACCCGTCCCTCTCTGTATCACTGACCACACTGTTACCCCTCTCCTGTATCACTGAACCATCACTGTACCTCTCTCCGTATCACTTTTAACCCTCCTGTACCCCTCTCTGAACACTGAACCAAACACTGTACCTCTCCCTGTATCACTGAACCCATCCAATGACCCTCTCTCCGTATTCACTGAACATCACTGTACCTTCTCTCCTGTAAACCCCTGAACTATCACTGTTACCTCTCTTTCCCGTATCACTGAACCATCACTGTACCTCTCTCCTGTATCACTGAACCATCATTGTACCTTCTCCTGTACCACGTAACTATCACCCGTACCTCTCCCTGTATCACTGAACCTCACTGAACCTCTTTCCTGTATCACTGAACCATCACTGTACCTCTCTCCCCGTACCACTAAACCCTTTACTGGGACCTCTCTCCTGTACCACTGAACTATCACTGTCCTCTCTCCTTTATCACTGAACCATCACTGTAACTCTCTCCTGTATCACTGAACCATCACTGTACCTCTCCCTGTTAAAACTGACCTCACTGTACCTTTTCTCCTGTACCATGAACCATTTACTGTCCCTCTCCTGTATCACTGAACATCATTGTACCTCTCCTGGTACCACTGAACTATCACTGTACCTCTCTCCGTATCACTAAACATCACTGTAAAATCTCTCCTGTAAACATGAACCATCACATGTACCTTCTCCTGTATCACTGAATACCATCACTGTACTCTTTCCTGTACCCTGAACTATCACTTAAACCTTTTTCTCCTGTATCACTGAAATTTACTGTACTCTTCTTATCATTTTAACCATCAACTGACCTCTCTCCTGTACCACTGAA